CGGGCTGCATGGCCAGAGCTGTTTGTATCTCAATCAAATGCTTGCTGAGGTTGCATCGGACCCCACCTCATGTGGGGTGATACAGCAGGCAGCACTAAATGGCAGGTAGCCCGCAGTATTCCTCATGGCAGGCCCGCTGTTTGGACGTGAAACGGTTTGGCTGCATGTGTGCATTCACATTTCAGCAGGCTTGCCCGAGTTGAGCGAAGTGAAGTGAGACAAGATGCGGTCATCCTGTCACCACTCTTTGACAGGGCGATATTAGGTTTTAAAAGGCACTTGGCCTTTTGTGCCACAAAAGCGGCCTTTCCCCGCCACAAGGCCACGTGAGGCGTTGCAAGTGAGTCGCTGCTTTGGAAACTATTACATATCTGTTTTTTCATCGACCTCACTTGATGTTCCTCGAAGCGCATAGAACAAGGGTATCAGATGAGAGGGTTGAGGGTCTGTTGAGGGATTGATGGGCTTCTCGTCCAATCTGACGTGGTATGTGGCTCATAGGAAGTTCGTCCATTGCCAAGCAAGATAGAAAGACGCAGCCATGGGACAGGCAGGCCAGCAGCGCACCAGGCAGAAGAAGCTCTCCGGCCGCAGCAACAGGGTCAAGGGGGTGAAGAAGACTGTGGAGAAGCCAGCCGCAAAGCTGAAGAAGCAGATCCAGCCGGGCTCCATTCTGATCCTGCTAGCTGGCAAGTTCCGTGGCCGTCGAGTGGTATTCCTGAAGATGCTGGAGAGTGGCCTGCTGCTCGTCACCGGCCCCTATGCTCTCAACGGTGTGCCTTTGAAGCGCGTGAACCAGCGATACTGCATCGGCACCAGCACTAAGGTGGAGCTGGGTGGCGCAGACTTCAAGTCCGTCACTGATGCCTACTTTGCCCGTGAGAAGACTTCCAAGAAGGGTCCCAAAACCCAAGAGCACTTCTTTGCTACGGAGCCGCCCAAGAAGGTTTTGCCGCAGGAGAAGAAGGATGGTCAGAAGAAGCTGGACGAGTCCATCATCAAGGGCCTCGGCGATGACCTGAAGAGCTACCTGCAGTCCCGGTTCTCCCTCTCGGCCAACCAGTATCCCCACGAGCTCAAGTTCTGATTATGTGCATACGTTTCGTGGCATTGACAATGGAGAACGGTGGCCAAAAGTGGCTGATTGCCTATGCCTTTGCAGCAGGTGCCACTGACATTGACTGCATGCTGGGCGCAGGCAGCCCGGAAGGTTGGTTAGAACTATCATCGCAGTTCCCCATGGAGGCCCGCCCAGATTGCTTTTTTACATTTGCCTTGGTTGCCCTTTATGCTGCTGCAGCTGCATGCCCAGCAAACTGCAAAGAAACCTAGCCAGCCCACATCCAATCCCCCGAACAGGGCACGAAGCAATTCATCAGGCAAGATTGGCAATACCCACGTTTCCAGATGTCAGGGGCTGGTTTGTTGTGGGGCAGCTTGACAGTGGCAGGCATGTGTTTACTCCACTTCATGGCAGCACAAGTAAAGTTGGACAAAACAAGCTATTTCTTTGCTCCGGCTCGCAGGGTTAGATACAGACCTCTTCGCGAAGCTAGAAGTCTCTCGCAGCCATGGGAATCGGCCGTGACTCCCGGCATAAGCACTACAAGACCGGTGGCCGCAGCAAGACCTCCATCAAGAAGCGCAAGTATGAGATGGGCCGACCGGCAGTGCCGTGCCGATTGGGCGCCAAGCGCGTCCGCAGCGTGCGATGCCGCGGAGGCAACATGAAGTACCGCGCCTTGAGGCTGGACAGTGGCAATTACGCATGGGGCTCCGAGCACGTGACAAAGAAAGTGAGGATCCTGGACGTTGTCTACAATTCCACCAGCAACGAGTTGGTCCGAACGAAGACCCTGCTGAAGAACACCATCGTCCAGATCGATGCCCACCCCTTCATGCAGTGGTACATGAAGAAGTACGGCGTGGATGTGGGAAAGAAGAAGAAGGGTGCCCAGAAGGAGGAGAAGAAGGAAGAGAAGGAAGAGGAGGTCAAGAAGAGCCGCCATGTGATCTTCAAGCAGAAAGCTCGAGCTGCCAAGCAGAAGTTGGACACCACCTTGGAGGAGCAGTTCCAGAGTGGCCGCTTGTTGGCCTGCATCGCGTCCCGCCCGGGCCAGTGCGGCCGCGCAGATGGCTACGTGCTGGAGGGTGAGGAGCTGGCCTTCTACAAGAAGAAGCTCGAGAAGAAGAAGAAGGGCTAGGCAGTTCACAGATTTCAGGGTTGCCTCATCAGGAGTGCGAAGTTGGTCGAAACAAAGTACGGAGTGCGCAGAGTACCATTTGCAACCTTGATTTGTACTTCTGCCTTGCAAACTTTGACAGGTGGCAAACCTTCCAAAGCCTTTGGGGTTCACCGTTTGCTATGCCTCACGGTCTGCCGGCTACATCCGGTTAGCCCTTACGCAAGAGTTATAGATGCAATGTCAAGTTGCATTCATCGCCAAGCCCTTACTCATGGCCTCTTGTTTGAAAGGCGTCCACGTTGCTTCAAACTGTACAGATCAGGATTATTGATCGGGAATCACGGCAGGTCTTAAACCTTGTGTGCAGCTACCCGTGGTGCACTGCCTCAAATAGTTCCCCACAATCAGGCAGATGTGACATCAAGAAGAGATTTGCGTGAGAACGTGAGAAGCTGCTCTTTGATAAGCATGAAACTGCTGTCAGGGCTTTGTCATCGGCAGCAGACGTGCCAGTTCCTTTGGATGAAAGTGGCCTTTCTCCAAGACTTTCGGCAAAGACTGTTCTTCTTCTGATGGATGTCAGCCATCAGATGTATGTTGCAGATGTATGTTGCATTTTGATCTGACTTTTCGACATCAAAGAAAAGGCAGTTAGCGATTGCTACAATATGTTCAAACAACGGCAAGTGTGCGCTACCCACGCCCTTTTTAGTCCTGTTCATGTCTATGCTATTTGCAGTTCCTTGCTTGTTTTTGTCCTGGGGGGCTTTCTATTGCTAAGCATTGACTGGCTTTTCTTGCATGTGGCCTTTACGCCATGGGCTGTCCAGCGGCGTTGGATTTGTTTATCCTATGCACAGAGGATCTGGGGTTTATTGCGAGGTGGGTACGGTTGGCAGCCAAACATGTTTTTCAGATAGTATGACTGTGACTCATGCCCAGCTGTTTGTGACTGGCGGCTGATGTGAAGCGGCAACTCAGGCTCAAGAATATGATGCCCTTCAGGGAAAGCAAGCGTGTTGGGCATAAGTTGCAATATTTGGAAGGCAACTCAGAGAATGATGAGCATCATACCACTGTGGGGGCAAGTTAGCCATGCCTAACTCGGACAGTCTTTGGCGGATCTATGATGGCCGCTACCCAGTGATAGCACAGGCCCATGCATTGGAGGATGACATGCCTGCAGGTGCGTCGAGAGTGCAAACATTGCAAATGCTTCATAAGATATGCATTCTTTCTAGCTGCTGGAGGTGTGACGCAGAATGAGGCGTGCAGCATCTCAATGCCATGAAATCACCAGTGCTTTGCCCTTGATCAGTCCCATATCAGGCTTGCCGCACCGTGCCAGAAGCTCCTTCTTTGTCTTCAGAGGCGGGAGAAGGCACTAATTTTAAGACTGTGTTTGTGTGAGTTTGCTACTGTTCTTCCAATGGTGAGGGTGAGGTTCGGGCAAAATCGTTCTAGCAGATCCGCAATCTATAGTTGATTTAGGACGGACATGGGGGGGGGGACTCGCTGATTTTCAAGTTGTCTCACGAAGTGCTTGAGAGCCGCAGATTCTGACCGTGGCTCATGTGTGTGTGTGACATCTTTGAGAGGTGCAAGCTGCCATTGGCCGTGCCTTGAAGAACTGCCCTCAGCTTTCGAAGCTTTCTCGCAAATGATAGCGAGACTGTGGTCCCTTTAAAAGGCAAAAGAAGGTTGCTTAAAGAATGGTGTTCGCAAAGAGATTGGCAATATGGGGTTTCAGCAGAGGGTTTTTTCCAAGAGATTTCAAGTGTGGCAAGCTGAAACGCTCCCGACCCCGGAGCTGAGGCCTGGAGCTTCCGCTTCTGCTCGACTCGGTCTGCCCCATGCAGCTTGTGAGGCATCCAGTTGGACCGGATTAGGATTTTCTCGTCAAACAGATGAGATAGGATTAAAACAGGCCTCCCATTGGGACGAATGAGAATCCATTGCATGTTGACCATGTTTTGCAGGCCGCAGTGGTACGTCGTGCATTCCGCTCGGCTGCACTTTTAGTACATCCAGACAAATGTCAGCATCCCAAGGCGCGTGATTTCGTGGTCTCTTGATCGCATCCCAGTTCAGTTGCACCATGCTGCACTCGGTTCCAAAATGTCTGGTTTGCGAACCAGTGTGATCGGTTGTGATCTTTTCGATTCGGCTGGGCGACATTCGATTCGAGTCGGAAGCCCGGGCCAGGCCAAGCTGGCTTTTCAGAAGCTGTCGGAGGCCAGGATTCCGAACGGGGTGTCCCTCGAGCCTGGCGGGTGCCACGAGGAAAATGGCTGGTTGCAATGCTGGCAACTGGGATCCGGGAGGGGTTTCCCTTTTTCCCACTAGTTTGGGGGCACTGGGCACCTGACATGAGGGTTTGTCATGAGAGAGTTGATCGAAAGTCAAAAGCAAAGCCTGCACAGGCGTTCGACCATTTGAGTGGATCGCCTGGACAGAGGCATGTGCGGATGTGCAAGCCACACGCATGACACCGTCGACGGTACTGCTTAGCCTCCTTTGAGCTTGCTCGTCAGGCAGCAGCCCGATTCACAAGGTTGGTGTGCTTTAGCCTTGTTTTGCTTGCTTGTCTTGATGGAGCTTTCAGCAGGCTTTCCAGGGCGACCCTACCAGCGTGGTGGCGGCTATGACAGGCACAGCCAAAAGGAGACTCCATTTTTATGCAACTTGCGCTTACTCCTCGTTGATGCCTTTGAGTCTGCAGATTCAGGCCGGCACCTCCTGGGTGTTGGGGCGAGAGCTGGGAGGCCGGAGACTCACAGTGCGAATCTTGCTCAGGTAAAACAAATCGTGTGTTTTGGGGATGAAGCGTGTAACCCATGTCACTGATCACCTATGAAACCGTTTGGGCTTGTTCAGTTCGGGATGACTACTCATTCCTGAAGCAGTCAGCAAGAAGTGTCTGTCGTGCCCAACCTTTGCGAGCTTGGGCCACGGGTTTCGTCAAGACTTTGAGGTCGTTGAGCGCCTCCCCAATGGTTTCCCTTTCAGGGCAGTTCCATGTTGTTCCATTTTGTGGCATTTGGTTCAATCCCTCCTTGTTCCTTGTGCGGATTGTTTCGTGCAGGACATAGATGACGGAGGGCACAGAGGTGGAAAGTCCTGGTGGGATGCGGGTGCATGCCTTAGACTCATTAGTTTGCCGATGGTAAGCTCAATTCGGGGGTAAACCGAGCTTACTGTGATGTGGGTCCTTCGCTTCGAGATCCTTTGTCTCAGGTTCGGGGATTATTGTGAAATTAGCTGATCGTGCCAAAGGATTGAAGAATCAGAGCCTGTGAGGTGCAGGCAAAAGACCCCTTCACAAACTGAGGTCCAGTCAAACTCTCCTGATTTGTCTTTGGTCCATTTGGGAGACACGTGAAGGGGACGAAATGTGTCACACAAACCAGGGGACTCCCTAACTTACCCATGTCGAGGTGTTTAGCAAATGTCAACCGTACATGTCTATTGGCTCCGAACGCTCGTAGGTCGCTCAGCTCAGGATGGTCTGAGTTTGAGCAGCGCCTTCGGGCTCGGGAGGCGTGCGTGTTTCTGGTTCGGAATGACACCGTCAGTTCCAAGTTTTCCTTCGGGTACTCCAACTTGGTGTTTTTTCTTCGGCCGCATTTCCGTTGCCTTGCTTGCGAGTTGTTAGGCAGAAGAGCTGCAGAAACAGGCGATGGAGGCCGAGTGTGACACCTTGCGAACAAATTGCCATGGTTGACTTTACATTTGCATAGCATATTATTGCATACACTTCTGTCGCTTATGTCCTTTCACATGTTTCCAAAATTATATGCTTAGCAGCGCATATGTTTGCATATTGCATATGTGTTGGTGTTTGCTATCGGCGCCAGGCTGCGCTGCGGCGCGGTGAGGCAACTTGGGTCCTGGGTCTCAAATGGGTTGAGGCACTTGGGAGGTAGTCGTTGGGGTGTGGAGCCCTCTTGAATTGAGGTAATTGCAGTTGCCAAGCACAGGACTCCTTGGATGCGTACATGGTGATCCTGGAGGCGGAGCTGTCAACTGGAGGCCGCCTGCTATTCGTTCCATTCGAGCGAACCACAAGGTAGCCTCAACACCGGGGAGATTCCTTTTGCTCGGGAAGGAAACCAAGGGCTTTTTGAATTTCTGCTACGTTTGCATTACCTTTGCTCAGAAATGGAACCCTCGGCCCCAGCCACGCTCCTCGCCCGCAGGCTCCGAGTCCTTCCGCGCCAAGCGCCCGCCCGTTGATCGCTTACCTTGCCACCGACACGCGGGAGTGGCTGCGATTTGCCCAAGGCGCCCGAAGCGAACAAAGAAACAGAGGCAACAAAGGTGAGGACCTTAGATGGCGAGCAGCTCATGTGATTCGTATCACTTGACAAAGACTGTGGACACTATTGAAGCAGAGACAACTTTGTGGCACATGCCAAGCCGTCATTGCTCCTTGATCGATCTAGTGTAACAGCTCTCAGAGCGAGTGTTGCTTGTACATGGTGCGAGAGGAGTGATTTTGTGTGCGTGTGTGCGTGCGTGTGTTGGTGAGTGTGTTGGTCCCTGGGTGCTTGTGTGCGTGGGTACGTGGGTGGGTGTGCTGGTGTGCATTGCGAGTGTGTGTGTGGTGTGGTGTGGTGTGGTGTGGTGTGGTGTGGTGTGGTGTGGTGTGGTGTGGTGTGGTGTGGTGTGGTGTGGTGTGGTGTGGTGTGGTGTGGTGTGGTGTGGTGTGGTGTGGTGTGGTGTGGTGTGGTGTGGTGTGGTGTGGTGTGGTGTGGTGTGGTGTGGTGTGGTGTGGTGTGGTGTGTGTGTGTGTGTGGTGTGGTGTGTGTGTGTGTGTGTGTGTGTGTGTGTGTGTGTGTGTGTGTGTGTGTGTGTGTGTGTGTGTGTGTGTGTGTGTGTGTGTGTGTGTGTGTGTGTGTGTGTGTGTGTGTGTGTGTGTGTGTGTGTGTGTGTGTGTGTGTGTGTGTGTGTGTGTGTGTGTGTGTGTGTGTGTGTGTGTGTGTGTGTGTGTGCGTGGTGTGTGTGTGTGGTGTGTGTGTGTGTGTGTGTGTGTGTGTGTGTGTGTGTGTGTGTGTGTGTGTGTGTGTGTGTGTGTGTGTGTGTGTGTGTGTGTGTGTGTGTGTGTGTGTGTGTGTGTGTGTGTGTGTGTGTGTGTGTGTGTGTGTGTGTGTGTGTGTGTGTGTGTGTGTGTGTGTGTGTGTGTGTGTGTGTGTGTGTGTGTGTGTGTGTGTGTGTGCGTGGGTTGTGGTGTGTGGTGTGTGTGCGTGGGGGGGCAGTCAGACGCGTTGGGTATGTGTGTGTGTGTGTCGTGGGTGTGGGTGTGTGTGTGTGTGTGTGTGTGTGTGTGTGTGTGTGTGTGTGTGTGTGTGTGTGTGTGTGTGTGTGTGTGTGTGTGTGTGTGTGTGTGTGTGTGTGTGTGTGTGTGTGTGTGTGTGTGTG